TACTCATTGCCTACCCAGGCCTACTTTGTAGTTCTTCACAATGGTTTACTGCTCCATCTCACATTGTGAGTAGGGATGAGCTCGGGTACCCGGTCCAATCCTGAGATCCTCCAACAATGCAAGGACGCCCCTTCTGCTGCTGCTGCCCAATCAGCTGCGGGTGGGGAATTTCTATGTAAGAAAAGGGGCGGGATGCAGTGATGTCATTGACCTTATATGGCCACATGACTATATATGGTCATTGACATTGACCTTTTAGGGTCACATGACTATATTTGGCCAATGACCTTGACCTTATATGCCACATGATTATATTCAGTCAATAACATTGACCTAATATGTTCATGTGGCCATATTAAGTCAGTGGCATCAAGCACCCCGCCCTATTGTGTATGTGCAGCTGCGGGGTATGGAATGCCCCAGCCTGCAGCTGATTGGGCAGATGGCCCATGGCACTTCCGTATTCGGAGGAGTTCAGGTTCGGCCGAGGTTCAGTCTGATTCTGAGCTCATCCCTAACTGTGAGTGTATGAGTTGGCTGATGCACTTAAAACAATGTCCTCCCTGTGTGGCTGATATCTGGGAAGGGGAGGAGCTACAATCTAAATATCTGCACATGTATCTGGCATTTAGATTATAACCCAATATAGAATACAATAGAAGAACCATTCACCTTTCTTGCTGATTCTTGAAGTATTTGATTCCTTTGGCGAACGGGTTCTCCTCAATCTTCAGCAGAGAGAGCTGTTGGAGAGAGCACAGAGAGGTGGATAAGGGGAGGGGTTATATAGAAGTGGGAGGGGCCTGTGTAAGGGCGAGGGGAAGACTGACTCATATTGTAATCTGAAATTGCTCTTCTTATACAGCCAGAGGAATATTTTGATGCAAAAGTTTGATGCAGTTGCTGAATCTACTTCAATCCTGCTTTGTACAACGCCACAGCCAATGGCATCGTTATATCATTTCTTTTAGTACAGCGGGTGCTGGGAGAAGTAAAAGGATAGAAATCCGCTTTGTGTGCACCAAATGCCTTCGCAAACCCAATATAAAAGTAGCGGTGACATCATCACTGTGCTATTCCGAGAGCAGAGCTGTGGGAGGAGCCCAGCAGGCCCCACCCACTACAGGTTGTCTGCAGAACATTACAGGAGCGGTGGCGGAGACAAGACCATTCACCCTGCACAAGGAGAGAGAGCGCAGTGAGCGGTCTTTATTACAGGAGGGGGCGGAGACAAGACCAGTCACTCTGCACAAGGAGAGAGTACAGCAGTGACCGGTCTTTGTTACAGGAGGGGGCGGAGACAAGACCAGTCACCCTGAACAAGGAGAGAGAGCAGCAGTGACCGGTCTTTATTACAGGAGGGGGCAGAGACAAGACCAGTCACCCTGAACAAGGAGAGAGAGCAGCCTTGAACGGTCTTTATTACAGGAGGGGGCGGAGACAAGACCAGTCACCCTGAACAAGGAGAGAGAGCAGCAGTGACTGGTCTTTATTACAGGAGGGGGCGGAGACAAGACCAGTCACCCTGTACAAGGAGAGAGAGCAGCAGTGAGCGGTCTTTATTACAGGAGGGGGCGGAGACAATGTGATGGGGAATTTTCTGACCCTGGGGTTCTGGTAGCTGGTCACCGCAATGAACGAAGTCTCATGGAAGGAGAAGGTGGTCACCGGTCCTGGTGGAGATCCGCCATTGGAGGTGGGGATGACGTAGAGGCGCAGGGAGTAGCGGTGCATGGACTGGAGCACAATCTGGAGGGACACAAATATGGAGACTCGTCATTACATGAGCCCAATATTCCAGGTAAATTTCATTTTTCAGTTTTGGATAGAGTAAGAAAGTTGTTTTACTGTTGAATAAGGAGGGGGGGAGGGGGGAATACTTTAAAAAAAACTAAAATATTTAAACAAAATGAGGAGAAAACATAAAAAAAAACTAGAATGCTAAAACAAGAGGGGAAAATATGTAAATAAAAATCCAAATATAATCAAAATGAGGGAAAAAATCCAAAGAAAATAAGGGAAAAACATAAAAGTAAATAAAATCATCAAAAAATGAGGTTAAAATTAAAAAAAAAATTAAATTAAAATATTAAAATGAAATTAGAAAAAAAATATTTAAAAAATTAACAAACTCAGATTAAGGAGGAAATATAGTAAATATGAAAAATACTAAATAAATAAAAATAAAACAAAATGAAGGGAAAAACATAAAAAAAGAGGAAAAATAGCACAAAGAAAATAAATTACTCAAACAAAATAAGGGAGCAAATATAAAAAAAAATACTTTAACATAATGAGGTAAAAAATATAAAAAATAATCAAATGAGGAAAAAAAACCATAAAAACAAATAAAATACTCAAAAAATGAGGGGGGGAAATTGTTTTAAAAAAATACATTACTCTAACAAAATGAAAAAAAAATAATACTGAAGAAAAATAAGGGGGAAGGGTGAATTTGATAATTTTGCAGCCAAATGAATTTAGGTGAAATGTCTCCGCCATCCCTACCTGCCCCCCCTGGCACAGGGTGTTGTTGGTGAGTCGGATCTTGTTGAAGCAGACGGCTCTCTCCATCCATCGGTGGCCGGGGGCCGGTGACTCCGGGTGGAGGTAGAGGCAGGTCGGTGGTCCCGGTTCTGCTCGGCCGCTCCTGCTCCAGACCCCGTCCCTCCACTTGTAGCGGTTCTCTCCCTCGGGTACGGCCTGGACGCACAGGGAGTACAGACGGTGCGGATCCAGACCGGAGAGGGAGACCGAGAACTCCGGGAACATGCGTCTGCCGGGAAGAGGAATTCATCTGATGTCACTGACATTAAAATATTGTCTTTTTTGTTTATTTTTTTACATATTCATGTGACACGATAATAAAGCATCTTCTAGACGTCTGTCAGCTGTACATTCCCTGCACAATCATACAGGGATACTTGTTCATTCTATAGGCAGGCTTTGCTTCCTTCTTAGTAGAGATGCACAATGGTTGTGCCTTGCTGCCCCTTTCAGTGTCAGTGTCAGTGTGAGGGCCAGATGTGACTTACTGGACACAATGCGCTCTCTCTGCCTGGCAGATGTCTCCGGGGTTGTTGCTCTGGAGGTGTTTACTGAGATGTAATGCTCTCCCTCATCGTGACTCATCTACTAATCTCTATATCTCATTCAGTACAGGAAATGCAGGTCAGAGGGCAAATAACAGTCACATCATAGTGGTAGCCTGTCCCCCTCCCTCGGTGGTAGTCAGTCCCCCTCCCTCGGTGGTAGCCTGTCCCCCTCCCTCGGTGGTAGTCAGTCCCCCTCCCTCGGTGGTAGCCTGTCCCCCCTCCCTCGGTGGTAGCCTGTCCCCCTCCCTCGGTGGTAGTCAGTCCCCCTCCCTCGGTGGTAGCCTTCAGTGGTAGCCTGTCCCCCTCCCTCGGTGGTAGTCAGTCCCCCTCCCTCGGTGGTAGTCAGTCTCCCTCCCTCGGTGGTAGTCTGTCCCCCCTCCCTCGGTAGTAGCCTGTCCCCCCCTCCCTCCGTGGTAGCTCACCTGCCATTTTTGGTGAGTATCATTTCCGTTCCCACAGAGTTGAACCTCTCCCACAGTCCCTTGTTCTCCAGCCGGGCGGTGATCTGCGGTGAGGTTGGTGGTGGCAAGGCAGAGGAGACGTACTGAGGGGGCAGATAGTACCCGGCCGATGGGGGCAGATTTGCACCTGAATCATAAAAAATGTAAAAAGTTACACCACCAACTCTGTGACTTGAGATCCTGAAGACATCAAAGTGATGACACCTCCTCCCCAACCAATCAGATTCATAAGCTGAGGGGCCTCCTTGTGTAAAGTGGAACTAAATGTAACTGTTGCCCATAGCAACCGCACTCCACCTTCATTGTCCCAGTTTGGTCTGGTTTGCTACAAATATCATGGAGGGCGCTTAGTGATGACCAGAGCCAGGAGAAGAGGAGGTGTTGCCCATGACAACCAGATTTCATCATTCACTATCCCTATAATACAATGTAATTCTTCAGTGATTGTTGTAAATTAGAGAGAGAGAGAGAGAGAGAGAGAGAGAGAATAATAGATAGATAGATAATAGTTTGATTGATTGATTAACAGATAGATAGATCAATAAATAGATATTATAGAAGGATATTATAGATAGATACTCACACATATCTCGGCGGAGGGGGTCAGGTGTGGTGGTCAGGCAGCAGCCCAGTGTCGCTGTGTTGTGCATGGTGTGGTCTAGCTCAGGGGCAGGGGGTATACGGTATATATAGGGGGTGGAGTGTCACCTTGCTGGGAGGAGCGGACTCATCACTTTAAGGCAAAGAAAACAAAATACCACAAATGATGGTGTGAGAATCCTCACCAACCTCCCGCACCAAGCTGGACACTGCTGTCCCTGAGAGGTGCTAATCCTCCAGATCAGTCACCTGTACCGACCAATCACAGCTCACTCTGCAAAGGTGGACCCGTAAAGGGGCAATTATCATAAGTTCCCACGGACTATATGAACCAAGAATTAGAACTTTGCTACTTGAATATCTATCTATCTATCTATCTATCTATCTATCTATCTATCTATCTATCTATCTATCTATCAATCACTAATCTCCTTCATTATACAATGATCACTTTGTTTCCTGCCCCTCCCCCTCCTCCGAATGTCCCAGTTGTCCCCCAACATCTGCTGGAGGTTCTCGGCTGTAACATTGTAACTCAGATTCTGTCTTCATGTCATCGGATTGTCTGCGGAACTTTCTCACTGATGACAGCTTCGGATCTGTCATGTAACCAGATGGAGGTTCTTATTTCTGATTGGCCCATCCAGGTCATGTGAGCCTCATTTCCGATTGAGCATTTTATATCTTATATATTCTATGAAAGAAAAGCAGATTTTCCAGCTTCATCTTTCTAAATCCAGAAAAGAAAAAAAAAGCTTAAAAGTGATTCCCCCCCCCATCCTCAAATTCCAGAATATCATCCAATGGGATTGAAGAATTGATGGCCTTCTAACACCAATGGGATTTAGTAACAAGTAAGTAACACGTGCGTTAAAATGCATCACCGCAACACATGGCCACACCCCTTGCGGTACCAATCATTGTGAATAGCACCCCAACGCATTGTACCGTAGAGCCATGCTTTGCGTTGACACGATCGTTTGATGACACGTTGCGCACATTGTGAATGGGCCCTCTGTATTTTCTCGGGAATATTCCAGAATCTCTGAGATGTCGTAGAAGAACGATGGCGGTCTCGCCTTTAAAGGGATAAAACCGCAGGTTGTTAAAGGGCCCATGGGGTGTATCAGTAGACTATTAAAGGGCCCATGGGGCGTATCGGTGGACTATTAAGGGCCCATGGGGCGTATCGGTGGACTATAAGGGCCCATGGGGCGTCTCAGTGGATTATTAAAGGGCCCATGGGGCGTATCGATGGACTATTAAAGGGCCCCCGGGGCGTATCGGGGGACTATTAAAGGGCCTCCGGGGTAAATATCAGTAGACTATTAAAGGGCCTCCGGGGCGTATCGGTAGACTATTAAAGGGCTCATGGGGCGTATTGGTGGACTATTAAAGGGCCCCCGGGGCGTATCGGTGGACTATTAAAGGGCACATGGGGCGTATCAGTGGACTATTAAAGGGCCCATGGGGCGTATCGGTGGACTATTAAAGGGCACATGGGGCCTATCGGTGGACTATTAAAGGGCCCATGGGGCGTATCGGTGGACTATTAAAGGGTCCATGGGGTGTATCGGGGGACTATTAAAGGGCCCATGGGGCATATCGATGGACTATTAAAGTGCCCTCGGGGCGTATCGGGGGACTATTAAAGGGCCCATGGGGCATATCGATGGACTATTAAAGTGCCCTCGGGGCGTATCGATGGACTATTAAAGGCCCCTCGGGGCGTATCGGGGGACTATTAAAGGGCCTTCGGGGGAAATATTAGTAGACTATTAAAGGGTAGACGGTAGTATCGCCATTAATATCCCGGCCATATCCAGAATATCATTTCACACGTAGATGTCGCCTTCTCGGTTCACACCCGGCGATGACAATAAATAGCTGTCCGTGTGACACGCAGCCTGTGTAAATACGAAGTGTTTCCCATTTGTCCCCCCTCCCTCCACGTCCTCGCTCCCCGGCTTCCTCTCCCTGTTTTGCTTTCTCTCTCCCAGCCTGTGATCAGAGGGCCCTCTCTGCTGGGATGTTGCTGGGTGCGGAGGGCCCTTTAATCTGCCCAACGCCCCAAGTGTCACTTTCTGCACCTGCCCAGCAAGACGGTGCAAATGTCCAAATGCCCCCCCCCCATCCACCTCTTCCCCATCCCAGGAGCAGAATCACACCAGATCCCCTTCTGGAGGGGATGAAAGAGAGAAACACAACACGCTGTACGAGGCATCACTGAGGACGCCAGACGAATCCCAGAATCCTTCAGGGCTGACCAGAAGACAACGGCCACCATCCAAAAACCCTCTGAGCACTAGAATGATGGGGGGGGGTGGTCTCCCAGAATCACCTGAGTGTTACAATGATGGCGGGTCTCCCGGAATCCCCTGAGCACTAGAATGATGGGGGGGTCTCCCGGAATCCTCTGCACACTAGAATGATGGGGGGTCTCCCAGAATCCTCTGCACACTAGAATGATGGGGGGTCTCCCGGAATCCTCTGCACACTATAATGATGGGGGGTCTCCC